TATCGTAGGATTCTGTATCAATACCGAATGCTTTTATTTGTTTAGGTGTTCAGTTCATGAAACGGGCAATTGCTGACCAATCACTTCATGATGATGGAAGAGATTTGTCTAGTTTCAACGAAGCTTTACTAGACTCGAGCAAACTTCGTCGCAAGCGAGATTGTCAGGCAGACTTAGCAGCTTGTGTCAACAGATGTGATTATCCATGTTTATGGCGAGGCTGTACTGCGGCTGCTACCGGATGTCACGCGGGCTGTCACAGTGCTTACCATTGTTAGATGAAAGACATTGTTGCAACTAGTGTTGAAAAGATTTCATGTTTTTGTGATGTAGTTGGGTATATCCCTACGCAGTAAGAATTTTTCTCTCCATATATACATGATGTATTTGTGTGTTTTCCTTTCGTATTAATGTTTTCCTATATATGCATACACACGCGTTTCTCTAGATAGGTGTCGGAATAGACATCAAAATATTCTGTGTTTAACTTCTCATTTCTCCTCTTTTTATCTCTCTTTCTGTTAACTCTTCGAATAAAAAATTCTTCACAAAGATCAATAATATTTACTTATTCATTCATGGAAGTCAAACAGCATGACAACTTTATAATAAAATATGATCTATCGATATGTTACACGTTCTCATTTATATAGTGTGTATTGAAAGTCATTTCCTAAAAGTTTTCGACGGTGTTTCCATTATTTTGCTTTACTATATCGACTTCTTTTTCAAATGATAGGGATTTACATTAAGTTTTCTTTTATTTATACGATTATTCTGAATATTGCTCAAACTTACTGTCTTCAAAGGAAATAGAAAAATTTAATTTTTTTTCTTTTTTTTGAAAAATGCGTCACACAAAGTTTTTATCAATTAATCGAATCTCTCGAGTTTTCCAGACTTTTAATTCGTTGAAAGCTTTGGTTCTTGTTTGTAAATATTTATTCTAATGTATTCTCGAGAACAAATTCAAACATCATAAACTAGATGACTGTGAAGCCCATCAAGATCTGAACATATTAAAAATTCTATCAACTGAAAAAACTTTGTGTAATGCATTTTTCAAAGAAAAGAAAAAAAATCAAAATTTTTGTATTTCATTTGAAGACAGTAAATTTGAGCAATATTCATAATAATCGTATAAATAAAACAAAACTTAATGTAAATCCCTATCATTTGAAAAAAAATAGTCGATATAGTAAAGCAAAATAATGGAGACATCGTCAAAGACTTTTAGGAAGTGACTTTCGAGACACACTATGTAAGCGTTTTATATTTTCTCGATGTCTATGACAAAAATTAATCAATTATTATATTGACATTTTCTCAACAGTCCAAGAAAATAAATAACGCTCGTCGAGAATGATTCGCTATGCCCTCGACTGAACCACTGACTGAAAATAAAATAGTCTTATGTGCGTTTTATGCAAAAAAAAACAACAGTAGTATAACCCTTGAAAGGGTCCCCAGAGACTGATCTTCATTCGCCTCACAGTCTTCAAAAGAGTCAAAGGACTACTTGTGTTGCTTTTAATTATTCTATATTCCTGACTGACAATTACTCTTCACAGGAAGCAGAAGTTCGCTATAAATGACTATTATGGATTTGCACCTTTAAACATGTCCTCTTTTTTCTAAAAGAAAGATAATTTCAGTAAGATCAAATGAGACTCTGTAATATATTNCTTGCGAGTGAGTAAAAGGGTTCTGAAGGGACATCATTTCAGTGAGGATGAACAGAAGAGTTTTGAAAGCAGTCGAATATTCAAATAATTGAAAAAAAGACTGCAAAAATAGTTGAATAGTTGAGTCGAAATTTCGAGTTTCGCATTACTAAAAGACGCAAGGATCATAGTAGCTATTCATAGCGGACTGCTTTTTCATGTGTGAAAAATGATCATGAATAATGGACATTACATAAATAACAAGAACGATGACAGTTGTTTGATTATTTTTGAAAAAGGTTGAAATTGACGAGGACCGTTATCGAGACATCATTTGGAAGCGCAAGTTCTATCTGAAGTATAACCCAATCAGTCGAGGGTAATGCGAGTCTCCCTCGACGAGCGTTATTTTATATCAATCAAAGCCAAACGACAACTTAATACCAACAACACAAACTGCTAATATCAAATACAGATATATACAATTACCTTATATTGGCAAACCAAGTTATACATATTCGAAGAGACTTCAGTCGATAATCCAACGTTATGATCCTACATCACATGTGAGAATAGTTTATAACACAACAAATCAAACTCGAAGATACTTTCCAACTAAAGATTGGCTTCTACCAAATCAAAAATCTGGTGTACTATATGAAATGTCATGCTTGAACTGTAGCAAAAGTTATATTGGCAAAACTATACGACAAAGTCATCGAAGATTAAACGAGCACGAGAAAGATGTTGCAAGGCACTTATATTCATCACCAAAGCTGCAACACTAATCCAACAACAAAAGCAAGTAAAACAACATTTGAACACAGTCAAAGGTCATGTTCAAAAGAAACCATCCAGTCAACCATTACGAAAGAGTACTCGATTGTTAAACAAAGCAGCAACGCATCAATCATAGCAAGAATGTGATCAATCTAATCTCATCCAATACAAACCAAAATCAGCTCTCGGAAAACATACATTCAAAACAGCGAGTAATGTCATAATATCATTACCCCGGGTATCCGTTTAAAAATCGACAACAGTATATTCAGAATCCGGAGGAATTTGAGTGAATTTGGTCGATACCCAACTGATAACGAGATGGATATCGACGAATAGCCTCTGAAGAAGTTGCTGTTCAATACCGGAGTCTAATGGAAACACACAACGATATCAGAGATAGTAAGAGCTATGAGAATCCAGAAGAGAATGTAATTCGGTACTGTACGTCTAAGCTGCTGAGGTAGAGTTGATGAGCATACGAAGCCCTCGTCGAGGTATCAGTTGTTGGAGTTAAAACCCTAAAAGGCTTTCGTCCAGGTACCAAGTTTTTCCTAGCACCCTCATGTTGTGCTTTGCCTACAGATCGGGTTTTTTCCTCATACCTATACCACCAAGCTGGTTCAGAAGTATGTAGTTTTGATTTGTGGTCGCGAGATAGTCCGACCAAATTCACTCAAATTCCTCACATCTCAAAAGATACACTTTGGGTATCGAGACGTTCAGCTCTGGATACTCAGCGTAATGATATTATGACAGCTATGTCCATTTCGATTAATATCGATTTAATGCTATTGTTTTGATATTTTTCACATTGAAATAATGTCTTTTGATCAGTTTCAAGTAAAAATGCCATTTGATAACGAACTTTAGTAGGTTCGAAACCGATCATGGCAGTTCATACTCACACATCTTCACCCTCACCCTAAATAGAATACATCATTCATCTTAACGACTATAAATGAATTGAAAGGATACGGCATCTTTAGAAATATTTTATGCTTGATGAGTCATACAATAATTTTCCGTGATAAAGCATAATTATGAGAAATTCTTTATTTATGTTTTTCAAAACAAGATACAATGTGAGTTTTTATAGTTTAAGAAATTTTTGAATACGTTGATTTCCTCCATCAGTAATGTACATATTTAACGATGAATCAAACGCGATGCCCATAGGACTCGATAGTTGCGTCGAATTATTACCTGCCACACCATTACCAGCAACTGTTATGCCAATCTGACTATTGTTACAAAACATTTGTACGCGATGATTTCGATTATCGACAACAAACATATTCATAAAAGTATCTATTTTAATACCCACTGGTGTATTAAGAAGTGTAGCATTTGATCCTGGTGTGCCTGGTACACCTGCTACGAAAGTTCCTGACGTTGCATTGATTGCCCATTTCATAACACAACTATTAGCAACATTTGTGACGTACAAATAATTGCTTATATTCGGAGCATAATAAATACCGTACGGATAACTGAGTTGTGTGGTTGCATTACCTTGACCATTTCCACCTGCAATAAGAACGCCATCAGTACCTGATGTGGAATTTGTCCTATGACGCATAACACGGTGATTATCACTCTCAGCAATGTATATGTATTCTTCATTCGGATCCACCCACAAATACCGTGGACCACGTAACTGGTTTAGCTGAGAACCAGGTGTTGAAGTTATACCAGCGACAGTGATTCCAACAGTTGAGCCATTGATGAACTTTTGTATTCTGTGATTCATCAGATCAGATACATACATATTTTGTTTTGAATCGACATAGACAGCTTGCGGATTATAGAGTAGACCAGCAGTCGAACCGGTAACAGTTTTTATTCCTGCAATAATGACTGGAACTGTACTACCTTTGTCTAACTTCCATACGACAGCATTTGCTGTTTCATCTACGAAATACAATGTGTCGCCGGGATCAATAAAAAGGCCATTAACCAATGTAACATATGTTGAATTGACAATCGTAATGCCAGCAGTAGACCATCGATCTGCCCCTGCTGCACCTATCCATAAAAAAGATGATTTCTATTAACAGTTTCTCTCATTTTTTATTGTTGCATTGTGAACTCGATCTGTAAAGTAAATACTGCGATACTACTGAATCATTTGACTTCTATCTGTTTCAACATTAAGTGAATAAAAATCTTTTTAGAATTCATCTGAATGACGGTTATACTAACATGGATTCAATGGTTTTTGTGTTGCTGTTGTTGATGAAGAGGTTGATGAAGTGGTAGTGCTTGATGACGCAGAGGTTGATGAAGTGGTAGTGCTTGATGATATGTTTCCAAAATTTAAGTTAACTACAATGAAAAACAAACAATAAATTATGTTGGTATATATCTACGAAGATCAAATCAATAGCAAATAGGATAGTGTGCTCATTTATACATACGTTCGCATTGATAATATGACAAACAAGTCAAGTTCAAATCACTTCGACAATGTGAATTGGTACTACAGTTACTACCAGCTAGTTTCTGGCTCCGACATACTGATCCATCATAAAATGTATATATTTGACATTGACAAGTGGAATTCATACACGTCAAATGTCGACTATTTGAGCAATAATTACATGGACGACCATGATCAGCAAAGTTTTCTTCTCTCAATTGTATTGATCCAACAACGGATTGAGTTGAATTTGAATGGACAATAAAACCTGAACTGTCGATGTCTCCTTGATAAAGTCGACAAAGTTTTGATTGGGGATCGAAGTGGAATGTACGACAAAGCGCAACTGAAAAACATGTCTGAGTACATTTCATTGCTGAATCAGTTGTCGTTTGAAGAAGAAAGAATGCTTGTTCATTGATTGGAGTAAATTGTAAACCAAGATTAGATAACTGAATGAGTAATTGTTCAGTAATGATGAGTGTTGGGAATTGAAATATAATCAATAAACAATAAATAAAACTTGACAAATATTGTCCGGATAAAAACATTATAATATGTTGCTCTGGAATCAAACGCAAAGAAAATTCAAAAGATGATTATATATGTAGTTTTGTGCAGAATAACTAATGAAAAGAATTGCAAATCTGAATAGGTCTTAGTGAACGACAAAGGAGAATTGTAAAGTTTGATATTATTTGTCACAGTCGTTGTTGTTTGATGATAGAAAAGTTCTTTTAAATAAAAAATATCTCAGTAAATCGTTATGTATGTGAAATACTGCAAAGAAACACTCCTAAGAAAAGAGAGTAACATATTTACAAACAAACTTATCCTCACTCTCACGATCATGAACAAAGTGTTATTTCGAAATCCTACGGTTTTTATAGAATAAAACTAGAAGAATTACAAGCGTATTCACTTGCTTCCGAATATGAAGAACGAGTAAGTATAACTAAATATATTGATAGAAAAGAATAAAAAATGTGAAGTAATAGAGTCGGTTAATATTTTATAGAAAGCTATTTATACGCAGAGCAGATGTTTCTTTTTCTTTTAATCAAGAATTGCATCAAGAACGCTTTCCTGCTGTTCATTCTATTTTGAATAGACAAAACGTTTTCTTCTTATGAACATCTGAAAATAATCACTTTTCACACAAGTGGTGATAAAACGATAGGAATTATGATAGAGGGAAAATATCTGTGAAGATCAGTATAAAAGTGTCGGTCTTTTCGGAAAAAGTTCTTAGGTGAAGTATTTTAGAATGATGTAACGATCAAATTCTCGAAAAAGCAGACTTTTAATGTTAAAAGAGCCAGATGTTTGACTGTAAAGAAATGAATTATTTAGCAGTCGTGACAAGAACCACTATTGATTATTTTCGCAAGCAAAGAGTAGCTGCCTAATTAGACTTATAATATAAGTGGCCTATTCCTAGCACACTACAATCCCTACCTACATAGCAATAAAAATAGATTTAGTTTCACTTATACCTATACACACCCATACCTTCACCCTCACCCACACCCTTACTAATAAACTTAGGAAAAAATTTAATTGTTAAAATATTATTTATTGAACATTCAATTTATCTACTAAGCATATAATACAAACTTTACTCAGCGCTCAAATATATGTCATTTTAATTGTAGATTCTGGTTGAATATGAGTAATTGATGACGAATATGAATAGTAATATATGACGTTTCGATCGTCTATAAGATCACTTGCAGGTCTTTTTGTTTTTGATTTTAATAATAGATCGAACCGTCATGCATTATTATTCATGTTCGTCGTCAATCACTCATATTTTACTTGATGAAGCTTGGCAGCGCAGCCCCTTCGCGCCTAAAAGGTGAAGCTCACATTCGTATGTTTTGAGAAGCAAACTATGGAGAAAACAGAATATTTATAGATTGAACTCACCCTCACCCTTAATGGAACAAAAAAAATGAATTGATATTAACCATAAAAGTGCTAAATATTTTACATGGATTCATGTGAGTATTTACTTATTTAAACTACCACAAACACACAAGCCGAACAATGTATATCAGTATTACTTCTTGTACTAAATATTCGTAGTATTTACTTCGATCTTGAGAATCAATTGAAAGTATGCAAATATTCGAGGTGGCGACGCATTATGCTGATGGAATCGTTGAAACAATGGTTGGGTGATCTCTTATTAAATCTCGAAACACTGTCAACGATTCACTAAAACATCGAAGCACAATCAGTTTATTCTTCGATCATGATGTTGTTCTTATCTTCAATTTCCTTGCTGAACAACTCCGATGACGCAAAATACCGAATATAGTTAAGTAGAACCAACTTTAATTAACCCTAACATCAGCGAATCTGATGGAAAAGACTGTTCTCTTGATAGTCAAACAACCAAAAAAAACTTTTTTTTTACAATGCATCAACATCGACACTTCCAAAAAAACCTATAGCAACATATTTCAGAAAGTAAATGCTGCAAATATGTTATATTTGAATATCAGAATTATGAAAATAATCTCGTCTTCATCAGTCGTAACTACTTTCCACATTTAGATGAATTAACTTTACCTGCACTTTGCCTTCTAGTCACATCTACTCCTTTAGAGTGTAGTCTTTCAAGATATATGGTACGTGCTTACTATCATATACCGCTGAATTATGACAGTTTTTGTAATAGTAGCCCACATGGAATCTCGAAAAGATGGATTTTTATACTATGAGTATAAATTAGTAATACCCATTTAGCAGTATATTCTTCTTTTATATGCATTTTAGTTGACAAACAACGATATAGAAAGAAAAAAGACTTTGTACGACAAATATTTCGTATAGTCAAAAAAAAACTTCCCTTTAAAAATTTTCTTTTCCTATCACTGAGCCGATGATTACATCTTTCTTAGGAAGGTCAGTTAGATAATAACTCGTAGTATTCACATAATCACTTAGGATGTAACCAGCATCATACAGAGACACAAGCAGTTGCGAATAACGAGCCGTGAGATTGCCAACGACCGAATAGGAGATGGTTACTATACTTTGCTTTAGAAAATCTCGACTGAAACTGGATGAATCTACTGTTGCTTTTAAAATAGTTAACGATGACAATAGCGCAATTCTTTCTAAATAAAAAATCTTTTTATACTAACAGTTCTCAAATATGATCCAACAAAAAATAAGACATATTAGATAAAGTCGACGATCAAGCGAGGCATGATGATGGATATTATTTAAAAAAATTTTTGTAGCATATAAAACTGGCGAATCATCAGAAAATATTTGGTCATTGACTAAACAATAACCAGAGACATGTTATAGGGATGTATAATAAATATATTCACACGTAGCTCTTGGTTAAATACACAACTGGAATGGATTGAACTGATCTTTGTGTTGTAGTACCGACCACCTGCTGCCGACGATGAACAATCATTTCTGCTGTTACAGGAACTATTCGAGTTCTGCAAATCATTTGTAAAAGATTTTTTTTCAATGTTTCGCGTATTTCACTGGATGAGATGAAAAAAATGTAAAAAGTGTCGGCATAATGAACTTGAAAAAAGTTTCGAGTGATAGTTGAGTATAAATATTCTTGGGCTAAACGCAAGGAATCTTTTTGCATACGAAGTGTAGCGGCGTTGTAAAAAGTAAATATAGCATAAGGAATAGAAACTACTGAAGTTATTATAAAGTGTAACAAAAGCATTTTTGTTAGTTGTTGCTCAATACGATGAACACGATTGGTTAATAAACGAATATTACGGTATGTTAAGATGCCAAAAATAACTGGTATTACTATCGGTAATGCACAAAAGACCATGGGAGCAAAAAAGAAATTATAATAATCTGCAAAAGCTGTTGTTTTGAAAGTACAAGCAGATGATGTTGCTGTTGGCGAATATATTATAAACATGGGTATACCAATTAATCCAAATAAAACAATTAAGAGAATTAAAACAGCAACATAAGCCAATTTTTTCGAACTCCATTGTCGTCTTTGGACGCTTCTAGCAGTGGATACCCATTGATCAAATCCATTGAGATATATACAACCAAATGAAAAACACGTAAACAAGTTAAAGCTACTTGCTCGTATTTTACACCATATTTCATTGGTTAAAGTTGCATTTATACCTGTACCACCTGTATAGGCACGAGAGAACGTTACAATATGTAATAAAATTATATCACATATTGCTCGCGTCAATATGTATATACTACTAGGAGATTTATAAAAGGCAGGTCGCGTGAAAATCAAAATGACCAGCACCGCATTGACTAGACCGAATACGAAAAATGTTACACTCATGTATAAATCAATATTATTCGAAATCGAAATGAGTAGTTTTACGTATTCTGCACTCGATAATGAAGCCATTTGATATTTCAATTGTTTACCGAAACTAAGTTGATGTCTTCGCAACGATTTGAGCTGTTTGTTGGACTTATAATATACGAATGAAGATTTGTTTACCCGTTTTTGTTTCTCTTGATGCGATATTAAAGATTATGGTATGTCAATCTTTAATATGGTGAATTCAATGACATTAATATTTTGAAACTCGAAGATGTAAAATTTTCAATCCTTTTTCTTTATTAGCGAGCAAAGGCGAATTTTGTTAAGATGGGCTTGTCAACCTTCTAAATACGGATTTATTTTATGTTAAATAATAAATTTGTTGCTAGAAAGCATTCCCAAAGAGAAAGTTCTGATGAAGAAATGATATTAAAACTAGAGAGTTCTATTGGATCAGAACCGAGAGGAAAAATGAATTTTGAAGAGCGGATTTTAGTAAGGTTGGTCTAATGCAAAGCTCGAGCAAATTTTTTTAGTGAATGTTTTTTATGGAATCCGATGCAGTTTGATGCGCTGCATCCGAATATGTATGATCTATTTAGATAAAAAGGTTTCTTCCCGCTGAAAATCGAAAAATACTGCAAAAATCAAGGGTTAAAAAGAAAAGGTTTTCTGCCAGGATTTTGACGATAGGACGTCGAAAGCTTTTTCTTCTGATTCAGCATTGAAAACTGATTCTAGGACACTACTTTTTGATTGCTCAGTGCATATCTTTATCATGAAAAAAAAAGTATTTCTGTTCGCAAACCGACTAGTCGACTGAGTCTCATTAAAAACGCATGAACTCATTTTCTAATTAAGATATAGACTTTTTTCTTTCACCGTTCGACTCCTTAGATGCCCTAGATATAATCTACGTATTATCTTTCTTTAACTCACCTTCTTTCTCAATATTTCCTCGGTATTTCGCGACGTCTCTTGTCATACATGTGTTTTTTATGTTTATCAGCATTTTCCACGTTTTTCTTGTTTTCTAATAAAATTTTATGTTAGGCATTTAGACAATGTATCAAACCACTTTTCAAACATTCGTAGACATGTTTGACTTTACTCTGAAGTGATATTTTCAGTTAAGCTTTAAAGAAATATTAGTAATAGCAGGTCCAATTAGTTTGAAAGAAATGATGTTTTCGTATTTGCTAAATAGTGATAATAAAATATATTTTAACAAAAAAAGGACGCAGATCACTGCATAAATGTGTTAAGCAATAGAATCAGTTGTCCAAGTTGGAATTAGTAATTTGACGATGTGAAATGACGTTAGCTGTGCACATTGAACTGGAATACATCTTGAGCACATCTTCATAAGAATCACCGCGTTTGTAAGCAACTAAAGTACGCCAAAATCTTCTGATTAATTTCAAAGAAACGTTCTTCTCAATGAAATTTATTCTTGATTTTTGAATTAATTTGAGCATGGTGGGGAATGTTTGGTCTGTTCGACTTCGAACGAATTGTTTTTGGTATGCCCATAATCCTTCTATAGGATTTAACTCGCAATGAAACTTCGGCGAGAAACTAACTGCTACACCATAGTCATTAGCAACCATCTCTAATTTTGAAATCTAAAATCAAACGTAATAGATTACCATATCAGTGGTTTAAAAAAAGAATATTGAATGCATCATGTCAATTTAGAAGTTTTTTCAGCTCTTCTAATCGCATATTAGATGGAATTTTAATACCAAGTTCTTTTGCCAAGATGAGTAGGCCTTTTGATTGTCCTTTGTTGCTACCAGTTGCAAAAAAAGCAGTCGATAGATTGTTTTTTTACCATCTTCATCTCTGTAGAATATTTTATCAGTTTTACAACGCGTACCAGGTTTCATTCCAAAATCTTCAACCGAATAGTGTTTAGCACTGTGAGTACGAACATTATCCACAATAACATGAAACTTATGATTTGCATAAGCTTGTTTAAATGGTAACATTTTGAACAAACGAGTAAATTGATTGATGATGGCATCATTATCAAAATATCCTCCAAAACCCACTTGAATTGATCCAGAAGGCGAATGTTCAATATATTGAATTCCATCATCTTCTAGTAATTCAGGATACTTCTTCACAGCTGCCTTTCATTCATCTCCAGGANAATGCTATTGTTTTGATATTTTTCACATTGAAATAATGTCTTTTGATCAGTTTCAAGTAAAAATGCCATTTGATAACGAACTTTAGTAGGTTCGAAACCGATCATGGCAGTTCATACTCACCCACCCTCACCCTCACCCACCCGAAAGGACACGGCATCTTTAGAAATATTTTATGTTTGATGAGTCATACAATAATTTTCCATGATATAGCATAATTATGAGAAATTCTTTATTTATGTTTTTCGAAACAAGATACAATGTGAGTTTTTATAGTTTAAGAAATTTTTGAATACGTTGATTTCCTCTATCAGTAATGTACATATTTAACGATGAATCAAATGCGATGCCCATAGGATACGATAGTTGCGTCGAAGTATTACCTGCCACACCATTACCAGCAACTGTTATGCCAATCTGGCTATTGTTACAAAACATTTGTACGCGATGATTTTGATTGTCGACAACAAACATATTCATAAAAGCATCTATTTTAATACCCACTGGTGTATTAAGAAGTGTAGCATTTGATCCTGATGTGCCTGGTACACCTGCTACGAAAGTTCCTGATGTTGCATTGATTGCCCATTTCATAACACAACTATTAGCAATATTTGTGATGTACAAATAATTGCTTATATTCGGAGCATAATAAATACCGTACGGATAACTGAGTTGTGTGATTGCATTACCTTGACCATTTCCACCTGCAATAAGAACGCCATCAGTACCTGATGTGGAATTTGTCCTATGACGCATAACACGGCTATTATCACTTTCAGCAATGTATATGTATTCTTCATTCGGATCCACCCACAAATACCGTGGACCACGTAACTGATTTAGCTGAGAACCAGGTGTTGAAGTTATACCAGCGACAGTGGTTCCAACAGTTGAGCCATTGATGAACTTTTGTATTCTGTGATTCATCAAATCAGATACATACATATTTTGTTTTGAATCGACATAGACAGCTTGTGGATTAGAGAATAGACCAGCAGTCGAACCGGTAACAGCTTTTACTCCTGCAATAATGACTGGAACGGTACTGCCTTTGTCTAACTTCCATACCACAGCATTTGCTGTTTCATCTACGAAATACAATGTGTCGCCGGGATCAATAAAGAGGCCATTAACCGATGTAACATATGTTGAATTGACAATCGTAATGCCAGCAGTAGACCATCGATCTGCCCCTGCTGCACCTATCCATAAAACAGATGATTTCTATTAACAGTTTCTCTCATTTTTTATTGTTGCATAGTGAACTCGATCTGTACAGTAAATACTACGATACTACTGAATCATTTGACTTCTATCTGTTTCAACATTAAGTAAATAAAAGTCTTTTTAGAATTCATCTGAATGACGGTTATACTAACATGGATTCAATGGTTTTTGTGTTGTTGTTGTTGATGAAGAGGTTGATGAAGAGGTTGATGAAGTGGTAGTGCTCGATGATATGTTTCAAAGTTCAAGTTAACTACAATGAAAAACAAACAGTAAATTATGTTGGTATATATCTACGACGATCAAATCAATAGCAAATAGGATAGTGTGCTCATTTATACATACGTTCGCATTGATGATATGACAAACAAGTCAAGTTCAAATCACTTCGACAATGTGAATTGGTACTACAGTTACNCAGTCGATGCAGAATCAAATTCTGCGTCGAATAGACTCTTTTCGATGAACCGGAATTCGTTTTGGACACACATATTGCGTGCCGACGGCCGAAAAATTATGCATATACACGTATCGAGGATAAAGAAAGATCAAAGAAAATTTTTCTCTGAACGTTTTCCGGTGAATGAAAATGTCACCATTAAACTCAGAATTAAATTCTGCATCAAATACACTCGGTTTTATCGACCGGAATTCGTTTTCAGAAAATCCTTAGTTTGATGGTGCTAGCTCGATGGTGCTAGCTTCACACCGATAGAACGAGTAAGTATAACTAAATTTATTGATAGAAAAAAATAAAAAATGTGAAGTAATACAGTCAGTTAATATTTTATAGAAAGCTATTTACACGCAGAGCAGATGTTTCTTTTTCTTTTAATCAAGAATTGCATCAAGAACGCTTTCCTGCTGTTCAGTCTATTTTGAATAGACAAAACGTTTTCTTCTTATTAACATCTGAAAATAATCACTTTTCACACAAGTGATGATATAACAATAGGAATCATGATAGAGAGAAAATATCTGTGAAGATCAATATAAAATTGTCGGTCTTTTCGGAAAAAGTTCTTAGGCGAAGTATTTTAGAATGATGTAACGATGAAGTTCTCGAAAAAGCAGACTTTTAATGTTAAAAGAGCCAGATGTTTGACTGTAAAGAAATGAATTATTTAGCAGTCGTGACGAGAACCACTATTGATTGAGAGTGGGTGTGTGATGGTGCTTAGGTATAAGTGAAACTAAATCTATTTCTATTCCTATCTAATTGTTTATTGTGATATTGTTATAGACATATAATTATATTCGAATTGATATTAGCCTGTGCGGGGGGGGGGGGGGTCGACTTATAATATAAGTCGAATTAGGCAGCTCATGACGGGTATAACGCAATGGATAAAAATGAACAGAATAGTCTCGACACCAAACATACACTTATATATTCATCCATCAAATAAGAAGTTCGATAGGGTGCGTATTGATCATTCTGTCACCATCGCCTGCCTGACAGAATCTGATGTACACATCTAGATCTAGAAGCATTCAAAACCTTGTTCGATTCCACCATATCTGCCAATTTCTTCTGTAATTAACAATCTTCTACATCAGATTCGACTTTTATTGGAAAAAGTAAAACAAGTAGCACTCATCCGTTAGATTATCTGACCCTTTTCTGAAAGAATGAGAAAAAGTAGTAGATAAAAGCTCGCACTTTGGTCTCAATCCAATCGACTTCGAATCGAAATCATTTTTATGCACATTCTTTCCTTTTAATCTTTTCATACTCTATTCATGTCAAACTACTTTCAATTCATTTGGCCAAAGATCTGACCAAAACGAACACTGTTTCTAAACATTTATTCACCGACGATTCAAAATCAAAAATCAATTTACTTCCACTTATTTTATTGCTTCTAAGCAGCTCAAATAAACGCCTAGTCGGTCGGCCACTCACGGCTATAGCCGTTACACGTACATTTTCACTCTTTCATCTAGTTTATAAGCACTTTCCAAATGAATCAATCCATTTCCTTCTTGAAAAATGACCACCTTTGTATTATTATGACTCTCTGGAACAACACTTGATAAAGGAAGCATTATTTAGAGTGGCAGGCATCAGATGATGTCAGTATGATATAGTTGTTTTCATAATTATGACGTCATTAATATGCTGGCGACTACGGAGATCCAACAATCGGTCGTCAGCCAACTATTTCGTTTTGTTGTCGGTATTGCTGCCTAATACACTGTCGCCTGAAATAAGCTTCGTTGCAAAATAATCGTCCTGTGTCAAATAACAGAACAAAATTTTTTATTGAAAAACTAACATCAGTTTCATGATCCTCGTCCCCAAGAGCCCTTCTATCAATGGTTTCCTAACGAGCATAGTTAAATTTTAATTGATTCATAAATTGCTGCAATCTCATTGGATCAAGCAAGCAAACCAACAGACTTTATGCATTTTAATGACTATATTTGTGACGCTGTAACCCTTTGTTTCAGAAAAGGGAATAACTATCTAATAACATTCATCAATATGATCAGATGAAATGAAGTGTCTCTTTTTTCTTTAGACAACTTTTCCCTTAACACATGACCTTTTATTGTTGTCCTTATGTACTAATGTGCCCATTTGAATGCATCGAGAGCAGAAGGATGAGACAGCATTTCCATCCTCTCATTGTCACTCGGATGCATCACGCGAAAGGGTCGTATTGTTAAATATAGCATCTTATCCATGGAAGTTAGCAGGTAAACAGATATAACGTCACATTTGTTAAGAAAGAAAAATAAAAAAAGATAATATTATGTAAAATAATGCTAATGATAAGGAAGAGAAATCTTCTCGTCTTTAAAATCTTTTTTTTTCTCGTTCAGAATGTAATTTCCGTTTTAACGACACTCATGTGAATGTTTATAATACTTCATATCAAAATGACTGCCTTCTATACTGCTATCATTTCAGCGTAGTTACAGAATAGAATATATGGCAGTTTGGTGCAATCGGTAAATTGATTATGTAAACAAAATTAGTTTTCCGTACTTTTACGCATGACCAGACTTGCCAGTTTCTCTGTATTTTTAAAAATAGAGATTATCTTAAGTTTTTATAATTACAAAGATAAGGAACACACGTCTGCCCATAAGTCTGCCATATGACTAACTAGAACAAAGATTTTCGGATATGAAACATGAACACAATCATTTTATTCTCTTTCATCTTGTTGAATAAACAAATTTACTCATCGCTGTTAGAATACTCAACTTTGCATTGGTGGACATGTTCTAACTGATAGATTTCCCACCATCATGATGTTTTTATTAGAATTGCAAGGAAAATAGAATAAGCACTGGTAGGTAACTGACTGTATACATTCACAAATTAGATACTCTTTTTAATTAAAACACATGTCATTGCCTATGAGACATACTGTGAGATAAGGACGATGTATCGATGATAGTGCTGAGTGAGATTTAATTAGTCAGTAATACTTCATTTGTTTGTTTTTTGTAGTCATGCTTGTATGTGCGAAAGAAAAACAAAATGTCTCTTTTGGTTTAGAAAATATCCAATTCTCAACAATATCATGTCGATGCAAGTAGTTAAAATAAGTATCTTCTCTTTCGGTCTTGTCTGTGCAGTGATTGGCGAATGTACGATGATTTTTATTGTCTCAATGATGATTTGCCGTCGATCAATTATGAAAATAGAACGTATCGATTACTTACTTTTTCTGCATTTATACGCCTGTCTTCTGGTCAGTTACCTGCTCTTTATGGATAAATGTGTCTATTCAATCATTGGCCATATCTATCCCCACGTGTCATACGATGGATGGTGGTGCCGCATAAAAGCCTATCTGGTTTATTCGAACGCAGGCATGTATTTTTATACCGTTTTGCTTCAAGCTACCTATCGATTTAATCGCATAGTTTATCCAACAAAGATTAAGCTACAATCATTCCGTTTGTATGTTCTATTATCAATTATTCAGACGCTTATGGCTTTCGGCCAAGTATGTCCGAGTCTAATTACAGGTGATATCGATTATTTAGTTAACGACTATCTCTGCCAATTTGCTCCAACGAATGTCAGTGGCTCTTTATTTATTTGCTCAGTGGCTTTTCTCTTTCCGTTTACCGTTACTATATTGCTATACATTTGGACCATGCATCATGTTCGAAAACGAGGTGCTCTGGTCATTCATAGTAATCAACGAGTACGCGTTCGTCGTGATATGACTATAATGACGCGTTTAGTTGTTCTTCTGACATTTCTAACTACAGTTGCTGCACCACATGATCTCATTCCGATTTTTTATGCTCTGACCGGATGTATTCCATTGTGGACAGTTCCATTCGAATGGACGTTGACTATTTTTGCACTCGTGTCAGTAACTACTGTTCAGCTTGCAACATCTCCTTATCTGAAAAGATTGTTCCGCCGATCGCCTCGCGTCGAACCGGTTATATGGTTTCGTACCCTCCATGCAAGGAACTTTTTGGAAATACAATAAACTTTATTATTAAGCTCAATGACAGTGATGATTAATTTTATAAAGTGCTATCACAGTTTATAGTGTCAAAGATTTGACAATATAATCCTCTAGTAAATTATGTTCTCGATCCTGTGAAAAGCATCAATATATTAATGCTCTCAGCTGTTCTCAACGATTATGAAAGAACACTAAGCCCATGAAATCGTTTAGCGGTGAAACGTTTCGCTTACATTGTGTTCCAATGGAATCAATTCGTATTTAATATCTTTTTCACGAGTCGACGGGTTCTCGAGGTCACTAACAACGGAATGTGTATAGGAAATCATTGTCGTCAAATGGTCTCAGTAAATACATATGGCAACAGTCGCTTTGCCATTGTATTCGTCAGAAAAAATGTCGGAAGTAAAAACGGCGCATGTAAATTATTATTTATTACAGAAAGAAGAAGAAGAGAAAGACAAACGCGTAGATGATGGCTAAGCATAAGATGCAAGATTTTTAAGAGAAGTTGTATATTGATGTATTCGGAATACGTTCACCTGTTCCTATACATCTCCTCATCTAGCTCATTCTTTCGCCATATTGAAATATCGAAAAAACACGTTCTCTCCATAGTATGTCTCATCACAAATTGCTTCAACATTTCGAGACGATACTGAGAATTGTATATCGATCTGTCTTTGGTTTTACGCAACGAACATGTGAAACGTCTAAGTTAAATAGTTTCTTATACAAATACCATCGAGTCTTCTTCAGTTCATTTTTCATTATTTAAAACAACTCCAACTCATTAACTCTTCGTGATTATTCACTCAGTTTCAATTGACTAGAGGAAGATTTTCATATCGTTCTCCATAGATCCACATATAACCAAGAAATACTTTCTCTCCATATAACTTCTATTGAATAAACCATTAATCCAAGGATAAAAGTATTTCATGCAGAAGTTGTGCTGTTATGATGAAAAACATAAGAAAAAAACCCTGATTTGTTCTTCTTATTCGTCTCTGGGTTTTACGCACGCAACGCAAAGAATCTACTGCGCCCGTTTAGAGGATTATAATTCTCGTGTTCTCACAATGTGAAACATGAATAACGTCAACGATGAATTGTCGAAGATTAAAACGTGACTAACAGCATTAACTAATCCAATAAACTCCAACGATCCTGCAATAGAGTCCTTTTCAAATGAAGCAACTGACCAAAATTGTTCGTAAATTCGTAAAAATTTCGATGTCGTTTTCGCTCATATGTCACCTAAAACACGTGCCGTACATATAAGAAAGACTGTAAAGATATTTGTTCAAATGTATGGTACTAATCAATTTAAGCACATCACGACACGGCTCTAATTTTCATCCATGGTTTACACTTATGTAGAAAAAATTTCTACTATGATTTTATCCGAAGATTACGTTCAGTATCGCACACTATTATGTGTCTTAGCTATTACAAACTTTATTCGAAACAATTTTCCCTTCGAATGCCTGAGAAAATTCTTTTCTATTGTACCAACTACAACGGCAGGTAAGATTTGATGTCATTACCATCAGAAAGAGCTATATATGAAAATCTGAATTGAAAATTTTTTTTGATTATGTATATAGATGGAGCTGACAATAATATCTCGTACTCCGAAAATGTGCTCGATATTCTCAAAGATATTCTTTCGAACTTGATTACACTTGCTGATAATATTTGCACAGAGACTATTATTCAGTCATCAAAAGGCTATTTCAAAAACAGTTACTATTCTCTCATCGTATATCATTACTTGAATACGCTGACAAGTTTTTCGATATTTGTAACGGGCGCGACGCGTCTAACACGACTTTAAATGATGTTATATTTGACCTGTTGACAAAAGCTGTGAACGCAACAGACATAACTCCGTTAGTACCCATGTACATCTATGCTGGATACGCTAAGATAACTGTTAAATGGTTAAAACAATCATTCTTCCCTGGACTATTCAAACATTTCGAAACAGATATCATATCACTCATATACAATCTGTCAAGACATTGAAAAGACTTAAGAGCATTGCGTGAAGAGCAAACGATCGAGATTCTCATGGAGCACAAATCTCTTATCACAGAAACAGTCAGTGAGTCTTGTATAGAGTTCTTCGTCGTTTTGTTAATTGTACTATCGAGAAATGATGATGAAGGCAAGCGAAATGAAGCTAACAACGATCTGATCGTCCAAGCTTATGAGAATCTGTACGAAAAAAAAGCGAAATGACCTCATTGTATTTAAATTGCTGAAATCTCGAATGTCATCTATCGGAATATCTTTGTCCGCTCCAAATTGCATTCTCAACCTTTTTGGTGAGGCCCATGCTTTATTATTCAATGAATATATAAATTATCTTAATAAACTCGTCGTCAAGTCCTTGTTGAATATTAATTTATGTATTTCGAACTAGGAACAGTATTGTAATGTACTGAAAGACCATCATATGTTTTGCATTATTCTGCAAAGTCTTATGAAACAAAACAAACAAAATATGGTCAAACGAAAAACAACGAAGACAATCTGTATTAGTCACAATGAAGATGACGTCAGCTTTTGTCGCTCGTTTGTTGATGCTCTACGTGAAACGATGACTGTGCCAATTCGCGGTCGAATATGAACAATCAGATGACTTTCAAGATCCTTGGGAATACGTGACGCCGGTAATCGAATCGGCAACGATGATAATTATCATAGCAACAAGTACTTCTGCTGATAGTGAATATAATCGTCAAGAATTACGTTACGTAGTGCTAGGAGACACTGACCATACGATGGAGAAGAAGCTTTTTATTGTGGTCGAATGTGAACCAATTTTCCAGTTTAGTATATCGCGGATCAAGACGTTTTTAAAAGACTATGAAAGAGTACCGTACAAAAATAGTATTGAAGTATTAGCTAGTGCAGTAGCTGATCGATTACTTATATCGAAGAACAAAAGACAAATGCTTGTTTTGTCCTCTTCGCACGTAATTACTGAATCGTGTGTTTGCGTTAGAATGTGATTGGGTTTATAATAACGGATATATGTCCTTGAAAACATATAAAAGAGAGAAATATCAAACAAAAGAGTTAAAAAATTCGACTCATTGTATCAAAGTATCTTGACGATTATTCAATTCGTGAGATATGAGATTAGAAGAAACGACATTCGACTTCTTTTATTATAATATTTATATTAGTGTTTAAAATAAAAGAAAGCCAACACAAATTGTGTATATATAAATGTTCTTTTTCACTAAGAAAAAATTGTAACATATGCTTTTTTGATCTACAAAATTATTTGTAGCTCATTTAATATGTTGTTACACCAAATCCATATGGAACGCCTTGTACTACTCCTCCATAACCACCGAGACCACCGAGACCATAGCTACCAATACCATTCAAAGCTCCAATGCCACCTAAACCACCATAACCACCATTAACAAATTGCTGATAAGCCAAACCGAATTGTGGTGTCCATGGAACCAAGATGGTTATTGCAGGTGTGACACCGGCTCCAAGACCAAGTCCACCGAGAGGTCCGATACCGTGTGCTCCATATTCATACCCTGAGATGGCACCATATTCTAGTCCTCGAGCTGCGCCAAGAGCTCCATATTCAAGACCACGAGCGCCTCGTGCAGCTCCGTATTCCAGTCTTCTGAGTGCATTACGACCGTCAGCATGCATCTTTATTTGTAAACGTAGAAAGTATGTGGTTATTGGATGTGTTCGTTTATGATTGTGATATTGTGGTAAGAAATCGGTTATAAATGCGTTAATAAATGTCTATACACAGGAGAAAGAGAGAGAGAGAAGAATTTCGGCAAGCCATGTGTTGTCACTCATCTGGAACGTAAAACAATAGTATTTTTCTATTTTTTTCCTTTTCGTCATATTACCTATGGAATACAAACAAGGGGAGAGAGAGAGAGAGAAAATATGCTTCTTCACTTGATGATAGTGTGCAGTAAGGTGTAGAATCATTAAATAAGGAGAGAAAACAAGAGAAAAAAGAGTACAATATACACTCACATTAATGCGATCGTGCATTTATGTCTTGGTGACGGTTTTCACTGCAAATTACGAAATGAATAAGAAATAAAAATAAAAAACGCCCATATTTGTTTTCAACTGTAATGTTGAATCATGTTTTGGGCGTTATTCTCCACCTTGAATTATAATATGTATATATAGAACGAGTCAAATGGTAGAAAATTCGTGCGTATATATAACTCTCAGTCGATTCAGTATCGACAAGCAATTATATAATACTCCGCTGTCGATGGATCCAAATTTGGCAGGTGAACCGGAGCCAGGTCTGATCAGTGGTATCAGACGAGAAGTTGGCAAAATTGAAGGTGAATTTCGCGACATTGAACGAAATCATGAACAACGTGAAGCTGACAAATACGAAAATCGAGCTGAACGTTATGCGGAAAAAGAAAGTGAAGATTTCAATCAAGGACGTTTTCCATAAATATTTTTTATATTTTTGACGACAACGATTTTATCTTTCTACGTGTGTAATAAATATTGATAGTGGTTGTAATTATTCCTGAGATGATATTTTCTTCTTTTTCATATTTTATCGAAGATTCCTTATAGAGGATCGTCAGTTGATCAATACACGATGAATAATTCACTTGAGACAAGATAAGAGGCAAAACAAGTGTGTGTTGTCACGTGTAAGTTATTTCTCATCGACAACACGATTCTACGCAATATGATTTTAATGTTCATAGAAACAGCTTTTTCATCATTGTCTAACACTCGTAGTGAAGAAAGAGAAAGTTTTTTTAAAAACTTTTCCCTTCCGTCAGTACGATGAAATACTTTCACAATGGATGTGGGAGAGCGTCATCCCAATATCTGTGATTCATGCTTTTTATTATTTATTAGCCGACCGCCTTTATCAATATGGTATCTCGACCATCACATACTCGAATGGCTCACAACTTTCTATTAATTTGGTTCGACGAGCTTAGCAACAATGACTATCTGAATACTACCGAAAAATTTCAAGAGCTTGTAAATATCGTGTACAGATGTACTGATATCGATGAGTGCATTGATTTTATTACCGATAACGAAAATGATATTTTTCTATTTGTTTCTGGATGATTAACTGAACTTTTTCTTCGTACCCTTCACGATATTTCGCAAGTCCAAGCTATTTATATTTTTGACAAAAATACTATTGAGCAACCACAATTGGCACAAAATTGGGCAAAAGTGAAAGGTATATTCGTAAATATTGAATCGATCTGTGAAACACTTAGGAACATCACTCACGAATATAAAGAAAACTCCATTTCTATGAGTTTCGTGAAGTGCGATGATGCTATTTCGGACGAAAATCTCAATCAACTCGATCATACTTTTATGTACACGCGATTATTGAAGGAAATATTATTTGCTATTGATTTCGAACGGCAACATATCAATGAATTTCTGACCTACTGTCGCGAACAATTCATCCATAATATTTCTACATTACAGAAATTGGACATACTTGAGCAGGATTATCACATGCATGAACCGATCTGGTGGTATACGCAGGACTTCTTCCTTTATTCAATGCTCAATCAAGCTTTACGTACGATGGATATTGATCAGATCATGAAGTTAGGCTTCTTCGTCAAGGACCTCCATTTGAATATAGTAAAATTATACTCTCAACAAAATGATGGAGCTCGGCACGTCTTGCCTTTTACTGTCTATCGCGGTCAAGGTCTTTCTCCGGNACCGGTATTCTTTCGTTGATCAGTATCAGGTTATCGTGACGTTTGGCTGTCGATACCCGGTGTAATGGTATTATGACATCTGTGGTCTCCGAAACAACACTTGATAAAAGAAGCATTATGTTGAGTGACTGGCATCAAATGATGTCAGTGTAATATAGTTGTTTACAGAATTATGATGTCATTAATATGCTGGCGACTACGGAGATCCAACAATTGGCCGTCAGTCAGCTTTTTTGTTTTGTTGTCTATATTGCTGCCTAATACATTGTCGCCTGAAATAAGCTTCGTTGCAAAAAATCGTCCTTTGTCAAATAACAGAGCAAAATTTTTTTATTGACAAACTAACATCAGTTTTATGATCCTCGACCCCAAGAGCCCTTCCATCAATGGTTTCCTAACGAGCATAGTTAAGTTTTAATTGATTCATAAATTGCTACAATCTGATTGGATCAAGCAAACAAACAACTTTATGCATTTTAATGACTACATTTGTTTGTGACGCTATAACTCTTTGTTTCAGAAAAGAGAATAACTATCTTATAATTGTATTCATCAATATGAACAGATGAAATGAAGTGTCTCTTTTTTCTCTAGATAACTTTTCCCTTAACACATGACCTTTATTGTTGTCACATGTATTAATTTGCCTATTTTAATGCATCGAGAGCAGAAGGATCGGACAGCATTTCCACCCTCTCATTTTCACTCGGATGCATTAATGCGGAAGTGTTGTATTATTAAATATAGCATCTTATACATTGAAGTTGGCAGATAAACAAATATAATACTACACTTGATAAGGGAGAAAAATTAAAAATGATAATATTATGTAAAATAATGTTAATGATAAGAAAGAGAAATCTTCTCGTCTTTAAAATCTTTTTTTCTCGTTCAGAATGTAATCTATGTTTTAACGACACTCATGTGGATGTTTATAATACTTCATATCAGAATGACTGCCTTCTATACTGCTATCATTTCAGCGTAGTTACAGAATAGAATATGTGACAGTTTGATGCAATCAGTAAATTGATTATGTAAACAAAATTAGGTTTCCGTAGTTTTATGTATGATCAGAAGTGCCAGTTTCTCTGTTTTTTGAAAATAGAGATTATCTAAAGTTTTTATAATTACCAAGATAAAGAACACACGTCTGTCCATAAGCCTGTCATACGATTAGCTAGAGCAAAGATCTTCGGGTATGAAAATTGAACATAATCATTTTATTCTCTTTCATCTTGTTGAATAAACAAAATTACTCATTGTTGTTAGCACACTCAACTTTGTATTGGTGGACATGTTCTAGCTGATAGATTTCCCACCAGCATATGTTTTTATTAGAATTGCAAGGAAAATAGAAACACGGATAGGTAACTAACTGCATACATTCGCCAATTAAATACTCTTTTTAATTAAAACACATGTCATCGCCTATGAGACACACTGTGACATAAGAACGATGTACCGATGATAGTGCTAAGTGACATTTAATTAGTGAATAAAACTTCATTTGTTTGTTTGCTGTAGTCATACTTGTACGTGCGAAAGAAAACCAAAATGTCTCTATCGGTTTAGAAAATATCCAATTCTCAATATATCATGTCGATACAAGTAGTTAAAATAAGTATCTTCTCTTTTGGTCTTGTCTGTGCAGTGATTGGCGAATGTACGATGATTTTTATTGTCTCAATGATGATTTGCCGTCGATCAATTATGAAAATAGAACGTGTCGATTACTTACTTTTTCTGCATTTATATGTCTGTCTTCTGATCAGTTACCTGCTCTTTATGGATAAATGTATCTATTCAATCATTGGCCATATCTACCCCCAAGTGTCATACGACGGATGGTGGTGCCGCATAAAAGCCTATCTGGTTTATTCGAACGCAGGCATGTATTTTTATACCGTTTTGCTTCAAGCTGCCTATCGATTTAATCGCATAGTCTATCCGACAAAGATTAAACTACAATCATTCCATTTGTACATTCTATTATCAATTATTCAGACGACTATGGCTTTCGGTCAAGTATGTCCGAGTCTAATTACAGGTGATATCGATTATTTAGTTAACGACTATCTCTGTCAGTTTGCTCCAACGAATATCAATGGCTCTTTATTTATTTGCTCAGTGGCTTTTCTCCTTCCGTTTACCGTTACTATATTGCTATACATTTGGACCATGCGTCATGTTCGAAAACGAGGTGCTCTGGTCATTCATAATAATTATCGAGTACGAGTTCGTCGTGATATAACTATAATGACGCGTTTAGTGATTCTTCTGACATGTTTAACTGCAGTTGCTGCACCACATGGTCTCATTCCGATTGTTTATGGTCTGACTGGATGTATTCCATTGTGGACAGTTCCATTCGAATGGGCATTGACTATTTTTGCACTCGTGTCGGTAACTACTGTTCAGCTTGCAACATCTCCTTTTCTGAAAAGATTGTTCCGCCGGTCGCCTCGTGTCGAACCGGTTATATGGTTTCGTACCCTCCATGCAAGGAACTTTTTGAAAATGCAATAAAATTTATTAAGCTGAATGATAGTGATGATTAATTTTACAAAGTGCCATCACAGTTTATAGTTTCAAAGATTTGACTATATAATCCTCTAGTGAATTATGTTCTCGATCCTATGAAAAGCATTAAGATATTAATGCTGTCAGCGATTATGGAAGAACACTATGTCCCTGAAACATTTCGCTTACATTGTGTTCTAATGAAATCAATTCGTATTTAATATCTTTTTCATGATTCGACGGGTTCTCGAGGTCACTAACAACGGAATGTGTACAGAAAATCATTATTGTCACATGTTCTCAACAAATACATATGACAACAGTCGCTTTGCCATTGTATTCGTCAGAAAGAATGTCGGACGAAAAAACGGCGCATGTAAACTATTATTTATTACAGAAAGAAGAAGAAGAGAAAGACAAACGCGTAGATGATGGCTAAGCATAAGATGCAAGGTTTTTAACAGAAGTTGTATATTGATGTATTCGAAATGCGTTCACCTGTTCTTATACATATCCTCATCTAGCTCATTCTTTTGCCATATTGAAATATCGAAAAAACACGTTCTCTCCATAGTATGTCTCATCACAAATTGTTTCAACATTTCGAGACGATACTGGGACTTGTATATCGACCTGTCTTTGGTTTTACGCAACGAACATGTGAAACGTCTAGTTAAATAGTTTCTTATACAAATACTATCGAGTCTTCTTCAGTCCATTTTTCATTACTTAAAACAACGCAAACTCATTGACTTTTCGTGATTATTCACTCAGTTTCACTTGATTAGAGGAAGATTTTCATATCGTTCTCCATAGATCCCTATATAACCAACAAATGGTTTCTCTCCACACAACTTCTATTGAATAAACCATTAATCTAAGGATAAAAATATTTCATGCAGAAGTTGTAATTTTATGGCGAAAAGCATGAGAGAAAAACCCTATGATTTGTTTTTCTTATTCATCTCTGGGTTTTACACACGTAACGCGTTTGCCTGTTGTTTATTTCTCATCACGAAACACAAAGAATCTACTGCGCCCGTTTAGGGGATTGTAATTCTCACGTTCTTACAGCGTGAAACATGAATAACGTTGATGATGAATTACCGAAGATTAAAGCGTGGCTAGCAGCATTAACTGATCCAACAAACTCCAAAGATTCAAAAAAGTCCTTTTCAAATGAAGCAACTGATCAAAATTGTTCGTAAACTCGTCAAAATTTCGATGTTGTTTTCGCTCATATGTCATCCAAAACACGTACCATACATATCAGAAAGGCTGTAAAGATATTTGTTTAAATGTATGGTACTGATCAATTTAAGCACGTGACGACACGGCTCGAATTTTCATCCATGGTTTACACTTATGTAGAAGAAATTTCTACTATGATCTTATTCGAAGATTACGTTGAGTATCGCGCACTATTATGTGCCTTGGTTGTTACAAACTTTATTCAAAACAATTTTCTCTTCGAATGCCTGAGAAAATTCTTTTCTATTGTACCAACTGTAACGGGAAGTAAGATTAGATGTCATTACCATCAGAAAGAGCTATGCATGAAAATTTGAATTAAAAATTTTTTTTTGATAATGTATATCGATGGAGCTGACAATAATCTCTCGTACTCCAAAAATGTGCTCGATATTCTCAAAGATATTCTTTCGAACTTGATTAAACTTGCTGATAATATTTGTACACAGACTATTATTCAGCCATCAAAATACTATTTCAAAGACAGTTATTATTCTCTCATGGTATCATCACTTGAATACACTGATAAGTTTTTCATCATCTGTAACGGGCGCGACGCGTCCAACACGACTTTTAATGATGTTATATTTGACCTCTTGACAATAGTTGTGAACGCAACAGACATAGCTCCGCTAGTACCCATGTTCATCTATGCTGGATACGCTAAGATAACTGTTAAATGGTTAAAACAATAATTCTTCCCTGAACTATTCAAACATTTCGGAACGGATATCATATCACTCATATACAATCTGTCAAGACATTGGAAAGGCTTAAGAGCATTGCGTGAAGAGCAAACGTTCGAGATTCTCATGGAGCACAAATCTCTTGTCACAGAAACAGGTAGTGAGTCTTGTATAGAGTTCTTCGTCATTTTGTTAATTGTACTACCGAGAAATGATGATGAAGGCAAGCAAAATGAAGCTAACAACGATCTGATCGTCCAAGCTTGTAATAATCTGTATGAAAAAAAGCGGAATATCTTTGTCCGCCCCAAATTGCATTCTCAAACGTAGTTTTTCTTGAACGCATATTTGGTGTTGCAACAAGCGTGAATGAAGATCGAATACGATTCTTCTTCAGCTTTTTTTGTGATATCCATGGTTTATTATTCAGTGAATACACAAATTATCTTGATAAGCTCGTCGTCAAGTCCTTGCTAAATATTATTTTATGCATTTCAAACTACGAACAGTATCGTAATGTACTGAAACACCCTCATATTTTTTGCATTATTCTGCAAAGTCTTACTAAACAAGACAAACAAAATATGGTCAAACGAATCTGGTATAATATTCACAAATGTGAAAATTCAAAACCAGTACTGAATAAGGTAAAACGAAAAGCAACACAGAGAATCTATATTAGTTACAATGAAGATGACGTCAGCTTTTGTCGCTCGTTTGTTGACGCTCTACGTGAAACGACGACTGTACCAATTTAGGTCGAATATGAACAATCAGATGACTTTAAAGATCCTTGGGAATGCGTGACGCCGGCAATCGAATCGGCAACGATGATAATTATCATAGCACCAAGTACTTCTGCTGATAGCGAATATAATCGTCAAGAATTACGTTACGTAGTGGGAGACACTGACCATACGATGGAGAAGAAACTTTTTATTATGGTCGAATGTGAACCAACTTTCCAGTTTAGTATATCACGGATCAAGACGTTTTTAAAAGACTATGAAACAGTACCATACAAAAGAAGTATTGAAGTATTAGCTAGTACAGTAGCTGATCGATTACTTATATCGAAGAACAAAAGATAAATGTTTGTTTTGTCCTCTTCGCACGTAATTACTGAATCGTGTGTTTGCGTTAGAATGTGATTGGGTTTATAATAACGGATATATGTCCTTGAAAACATATAAAAGAGAGATATATCAAAGAAAAGACTTAAAAAATTCGATTAATAGTATCAAAGTATCTTGACAATTATTCAATTCGTGAGATATGAGATTGGAAGAAACGACATTCGACTTCTTTTATTATAATATTTATATTAGTGTTTAAAATAAAGAAAGCCAACACAAATTGTGTATATATAAATGTCCTTTTTCACTAGGAAAAAACTGTAATATAAGCTTTTTTGATCTAGAAAATTATTTGTAGCTCATTTAATATGTTGTTACACCAAATCCATATGGGACACCTTGTGCTACTCCTCCATAGCCACCGAGGCCACCGAGGCCACCGAGGCCACCGAGACCATAGCTACCATAACCACCATAACCACCATTAACAAATTGCTGATAAGCCAAACCGAANCGCGGTTTTCCTGTCTTTGCCTTTTCAGCTGCTTGCGGGACGAGTAGAGAGAAGGGGGGGGGGAAGAGAAAAGATGCTTCTTCACTTGATGATAGTGTGCAGTAAGGTGTAGAATCATTAAATAGGGAGAGAAAAGAAGAGAAAAAAAAGTACAATATACACTCACATTAATGCGATCGTGCATTTATCTCTTGGTGACGGTTTTCATTGCAAATTACGAAATGAATAAGAAATAAATATAAAAAACGCCCATATTTGTTTTCAACTGTAATGATGAATCAAGTTTTGGGCGTTATTTTTCACCTTGAATTATAATATGTGTAGATAGAACGAGTCAAATAGTAGAAAATTCGTGCGTATATATAACTCTCAGTTGATTCAGTATTGACAAGCAATTATATAATACTCCGCTGTCTATGGATCCAAATTGGGCAGGTGAACCAGAGCCAGGTCTGATCAGCGGTATCAGACGAGAAGTTGGCAAAATTGAAGGTGAATTTCGCGACATAGAACGAAATCATGAGCAACGTGAAGCTGACAAATATGAAAATCGAGCTGAGCGTTTTGCGGAAAAAGAGAGTGAAGACTTCAATCAAGGACGTTTTCCATGAATATTTTTTTAATATTTTTGACAGCAACGATTTTATCTTTCTACGTGTAATAAATATTGATAATGGCTATAATTTTTCCTGAGATGATATTTTCTTCTTTTTCATATTGTCAACCATACACATCAGAAATGAAGATATAGTTTCATCTTGAGTAACGGTGTGTTATTATGAGTTTTCTTCTCGTACTTTATCGAAGATTCCTTTTGGAGGATCGTCAGTTGATCAATACACGATGAATAATTCACTTGAGGCAAGATAAGAGGCAAAACAAGTGTGTGTTGCCACGTGTAAGTTATTTCTCATCGACAACACGATTCTACGCAATATGATTTTAATGTTCATAGAAACAGCTTTTTCATCATTGTTTAACACTCGTAGTGAAGAAAGAGAAAGTTTTTTTTAAAACTTTTTCCTTCCGTCGGTACGATAAAAAACTTTCACAATGGATGTGGGAGAGCGAAAAAAGTTGGAAAAATGAGAGCGTCATCCCAATATCTGTGATTCGTACTTTTTATTATTTATTAGCCGATCGTCTTTATCAATATGGCATCTCGACCACCACATACTCGAATGGCTCAGAACTTTCTATTAATTTGGTTCGACGAGCTTAGCAACAATGATTATCTGAATACTAATGAAAAATTTCAACAGCTTGTAAATATCGTGTACAGATGTACTGATATCGATGAGTGTATTGATTTTATTACCGATAACGAAAATGATATTTTTCTAGTTGTTTCTGGATCATTAACTGAACTTTTTCTGCGTACTCTTCACGATATTTCGCAAGTCCAAGCTATTTATGTTTTTGACAAAAATACTATTGAGCAACCACAATTGGAACAAAACTGGGCAAAAGTGAAAGGTATATTCGTAAATATTGAATCGATCTGTGAAGCACTTAGGAACATCACTCACGAATATAAAGAAAATTCCATTTCTATGAGTTTCGTGAAGTCCGATGATGCTATTTCGGATGAAAATCTCAATCAACTCGATCATACTTTTATGTACACGCGATTATTGAAGGAAATATTATTTTCTATTGATTTCGAACGGCAGCATATCAATGAATTTCTGACCTACTGTCGCGAACAATTCATCCATAATATTTCTACATTACAGAAATTGGACATACTTGAGCAGGATTATCACACGCATGAGCCGATCTGGTGGTATACGCAGGACTTCTTCCTTTATTCAATGCTCAATCAAGCTTTACGTACGATGGATATTGATCAGATCATGAAGTTAGGCTTCTTCGTCAAGGACCTCCATTTGAATATAGTAAAATTATACTCTCAACAAAATGATGGAGCTCGGCACGTCTTGCCTTTTACTGTCTATCGCGGTCAAGGTCTTTCTCCGGCAGATTTTAGTCAACTAATCAAAACAAGAGGTGGATTAATGTCGTTCAACAATTTTTTGTCGACAAGTCTTGATCAGACAATATCATTCGCTTTTGCTGAAAGCAATCACTATAATCCTGATTTAATAGGTATTCTATTTCAAATATTTGTCGATCCATCAATCTCGTCCACTCCATTTGCCAGCATCGATGAGAGTAGTCAACATAGAGTTGAAAAAGAAATTCTTTTTACTATGCATACCGTATTTCGCGTTGGAGATGTACAACGAATTCATGAGAATAATCGACTCTGGAAGGTGGAATTGATACTAACCAGCGATACAGATTCGCAACTTGAAACGTTGACGGAATGCATGCGAAAACAAACCCATTCTTTGTACACCGGGTGGCACAGACTTGGTAAACTTCTTCTTAAATTGTCTGATTATGTTGCAGCCGAAAAACTATATGAAACATTGCTCGAGCGCGCATCAGATGATCGTGATGAATTATATATCCACAGTTGTCGGGGACAAATCAGAGAAGCGCAAGGGAGATATGACGATGCGTTAGCATGTTATCAGAAATCGCTTCAAATCGCGAAGAAAAATTCTGAGTATCATTTTGAGTTTTCTTCTATTTATAATAATATTGGTATATTGTATCTAAAGATGGAGAAAAACTCGTACGCACTGATAAATTTCAAGAAAGCACTTGAGTTTGACCAGAAAATCTATTCTCCAAATCATATCACATTGGCTAGTTATTACAATAATATTGCTTGTGCGTATCAACAAATGGGTAGAGATCGAGATGCAATGCCGTGGTATAAAATGGCACTTGAAATTCAAGAAAAAGAACTCCCGCCAAATCATCCCGATCTGGCTCTTACGTATAATAACATCAGTAGACAGAATGCTTCTGTGGGTAACTACACTGTAGCTCTTTTCTATGCTCAAAAAGCGCTCGCCATAAATGTAAAAGTACTTCCTCCGCATCATGATCTTCTCTATCTGTCTTACGAGAGAATGGGTTCCATATACGAACGCCGTGGCGAAGATGCAAAAGCGCTGTTATTCTATCAGAAAGCCATTGAGATATGCGAAAAAATTTTTCCTCCTGGACATCCCGATTTCATAAAAGTTTTTGACATGATGTCATCTTTATATGATAAGATAGGCGAATATTCCAAGGCACAAACATACTTTGAAACGGCATATGGTTTCAAACATGCAATCCCTGTTGTTCCTCACAGCACAACGGAATCGATGCAGTACAACATGAATGGTATCCTCACATTAAAAGAAAAACTGGAAGCAAGTTGCCACCCAAATGAACCAACGTTAATGTCTTTGTATAACAAAATTGCTTTGACGTATGAAAGTGAGAATGAATTTTTCAAAGCTCTTTTATATCACGAGAAAGTGCTGAAAATTCTTTGGAAAACTCGCCCTCAAAATTATCCTCATCTTGCTGAATGTTACAATAAGATCGCAATGATATATTACAGTTTGAATGATCTTTCTAACGCTCGGACAGCTATTCAGCATGCTATTCAAATCGGCGAAGATTCACTGACAGCAGATCATCGCGATCTTCAAGATTACCGAAGTGACTGGACGATGATAATGTTGAAACTAATTCTCTCTGAGTTCGTTGAATCTGAAAACTGTAGTGAGTGAAGTGCGTACGGATGCAATCGCTCACACTTCTCTATCTATGCGACAAGAAGGAAAATAAATAAACAAAAAAGCTTTAAAAAAAGCGTTAGTTCTTTCTATTTTTATTGATTGTTATCCATTTCGGCCTGTTCTTTCGCCTGTTTGTATACTGTAAGATTGTTCTGGTGACCCAACGTTTGAGGATGATCTTTCGGCAGAGAGCTGCGATCTATGTCGACTGCTTTTTCACCATATTCAACAGCCTTGCTGTACAACTTCAAGCGATGCATCGTATTCGCGATAGTGCCATACGTAGTTGCTATTCTGGGATGAATCTCTGGAAAAATCTTTAAGTTTATCTTTAACGCTTCTTGGCATCTTTCTAAGGCTTCCTCATGTTTGCCTTGTTCGTTTAGAACTCCAGCCATGTTAGTATGCAATGTGGCTACTAATCCCTCATTGCTATTACCTTGAGCATTGCAATCTTCAATTGCTTTTTCATAATATTCAATAGCTTTATCCATTTTCTTCATTTTCCAATACAGAGTTGCAATATTGTTGTACGTTGTTGCGTCGTCTGCTGCACTGCCTGACTCTTCAGTTTTCTTCAAGTCCAGTGACTTGGAGTAATAACGTAGCGCTTCATCGTATTGGTCCAACTCGTCTTTGACCATTCCAAGATTGTTATATAATACTGAAAGACGCTGAGGTGAAGTCTCAACTTGAATTGCTTCGCGATAGAAGTAGTCGGACTTTTTCCATGCTGCTATTTGGTACATTAGTCTACCGAAATTAAGGCAAACATTACTATCTTCCATAGATTTTTTAAAATGTTCTTTCAAAGCGGTAAGTCGCTTGTCGTAGTCATCTGTTAAGGTCAAAGGAACGATCCATATACCTTCCGCTGAATGTTTCAATTTACCGACACGAAAGACCGATCCCATGGAAAAAAGCCACTCTTTTTCAAGTTTGTAGTAACTGAGCCCGCTTACGCAGGTCACAGGGATAGCCGTAGTCTTCTCGATTGTAATTTCAAACAGAGTGCTTACTTTTCTGTTATTACCAAGATTTTCACGTGCAAATCCAAGAGCTACTTCGCGATCTGAAGTAGTGGAGAGAAAATTTGAAACTGAGAATAGCCCCTTTTCCGTTTTACTAAGTTGCTCAAAGTCATCCTTCTCAAATGCTTGTCCACGGTACAACTTCTTCACATCGATACCTTTTGATCCTTGTTCGGAAGCGATCTGTTGATGCAGGTGACGAATGTATACGCGTAAAGTATACAATGTATCATAGTCATGAGTACGAAGAGCTTTGTTCAGCATGCGATAAAGGAATGAATCTCGAGTATACCAATAGATAGACGTGTTCGCTGAGTATGTCGTTTTGAGATCTTTGAGATTCGATAGTTCGTTGCTATTTCCATGATATCGTGTCTGGCAAAAGTCATACATATCTTGCATATCCTCATCTTTTACTGATAGAACAATGTCTCGAAACAACTGATCGTACATAAACGACGCTTCTTGTTGACTAGCGTTGGATCCATCCTTTGACTTCGATCGTTCCATCATTTCAAAACCTAGCAGCGTACGATCGAGCCGCGTTACATCTTTGCTTAACTGTTCACACAGCGCATCTATAGTAGTGTAAATACCAGTAATTTCTTGATATTCACCAAACCAAGATTCTTGAACTTTCCCAGGAGAATAGACATAGATCGATTCGAGTTGTTTTTCGTCATGAATACTTGAAACGAAATCCTCTTCGACTGCACCCGAGACAATCACAAAGATCTTCACGTCTTTGACATTTGACATGAATTCGTGACATGCTTTAGGATCCAAAAATATTTTCACACAATTAACCACCTGTTGAAGTTGACGTTTTGATACTTCACCACTTTTACCCTTACCACCGTTGGATTGATCCAACCACACAAGAACATAATTCTCAACGTTTTCTACCTGCGGCATCGGCTTTTCAGGTACGGATAATGTTAGTTTTGGTCTTTCAGATTTAGGTATGGGTAGCACATATACTTTGTAACCTGTAGAAACAGAAAATATATTGTAGCCAAATTCTTTTCATGAAAATTCGGTTAGATTGATGAGGTCGTTTGGATACAAACCTATTTTTTTCCGAAGAAGTCGTTGAGATGGCGGTAGTTTGCTGTCAAACCTGCCATCGTTCGTGAATAGTTGCCAGTCAGTTTTCAGTTGAAGTGGTGCGGAGAAAGCTCTCTGTCGATTCATACAAACGTTTTTTTCGATAGCAAATAGTGAATGAAGCAGATGTTGCCTTATTAATAATGCTTTTAAATCAAATTTTTCCAATATTCCAAATTGAGTCGCAAAAATGTTGTTTTCATTTTTCGGGGAGAAAGCCGAGCGTGTTATGTTACGAATTTTTGCAATAACAAAACGATTTGCTCTTATATGTTTCGCAAAATCATCTGTTTGTCTTTACAACTCCTTTTCAGTTACTACCGTTCTCTTACTTCCTGCGAGTAGTGAAAATATGCATGACTCAGAGTAAACAAAGCCACATTTGACAAAGTTTCAAGTTAATGTGCTCGTAGCATATTGTAACTGATGCTATCATCAGAAGACTATCGACTTTCTTCCTTTATGTAGAACATCTCTCGTAAGACTGTGCTTCCCGCAGGGGTACACTTAGAAACCGAATAGCTTAGATGATATAATTGTCAAACAACGATAAAATTATAATGATTAAATAAATACTGCACTTTTTCCTCTGGTTAGAAAGAAGATGTAAATTAGAATCCAAAAAAATCAGTCAATATTATGAATATCAGCCGCAGTTGTATAAGTTCTGCTCAATCGAGAATCTCTGCACGCGATTGTTATCATGGTCAGTGACGTACAAATTACCATCTCCATCAAAACATAAACCTATTGGATAACGAAACTGGTCTGACCTATTTCCGAAACCCTTATCTCCAACGATGACACTTCCCTCTGCTGCTCCTGCTTCAAATCGCATTATTCGTTGATTTCCATGATCAGCAACATAGATCGTACCATTCTGATCAACAATCACTTGCCGAGGATTATTCAGTTGTGTCAAATTTGCACCATTGCCATGGCCACCAGCTACGACTATTCCTTCTTTCGCCCCTTTGGTCCATTTGACGATGCGATGATTGAAACTATCTGAGATATAGATCGATTGTTGTCGGTCAATAAATANGATCTGGTGGTATACGCAGGACTTCTTCCTTTATTCAATGCTCAATCAAGCTTTACGTACGATGGATATTGATCAGATCATGAAGTTAGGCTTCTTCGTCAAGGACCTCCATTTGAATATAGTAAAATTATACTCTCAACAAAATGATGGAGCTCGGCGCATCTTGCCTTTTACTGTCTATCGCGGTCAAGGTCTTTCTCCTGCAGATTTTAGTCAACTAATGAAAACAAGAGGTGGATTAATGTCGTTCAACAATTTTTTGTCGACAAGTCTTGATCAGGCAATATCATTCGCTTTTGCTGAAAGCAATCACTATAATCCTGATTTAATAGGTATTCTATTTCAAATACTTGTCGATCCATCAATCTCGTCCACTCCATTTGCCAGCATCGATGAGAGTAGTCAACATAGAGTTGAAAAAGAAATTCTTTTTACTATGCATACCGTATTTCGCGTTGGGGATGTACAACGAATTCATGAGAATAATCGACTCTGGAAGGTGGAATTGATACTAACCAGCGATACAGATTCGCAGCTTGAAACGTTGACGGAATGCATGCGAAAACAAACCCATTCTTTGTACACCGGGTGGCACAGACTTGGTAAACTTCTCCTTAAATTGTCTGATTATGTTGCAGCCGAAAAACTATATGAAACATTGCTCGAGCGCGCATCAGATGATCGTGATGAATTATATATCCACAGTCGTCGTGGACAAATCAGAGAAGCACAAGGGAGATATGACGATGCATTAACATGTTATCAGAAATCGCTTCAAATCGCGAAGAAAAATTCTGAGTATCATTTTGAGTTATCTTCTATTTATAATGATATTGGTATATTGTATCTAAAGATGAAGAAAAACTCGTACGCACTGATAACTTTCAAGAAAGCACTTGAGTTTGCCCAGAAAATCTATTCTCTAAATCATCTCACATTGGCTAGTTATTACAATAATATTGCTTGTGCGTATCAACAAATGGGTAGAGATCGAGATGCAATGCCATGGTATAAAATGGCACTTGAAATTCAAGAAAAAGAACTCCCGCCAAATCATCCCGATCTGGCTCTTACGTATAATAACATCAGTAGACTGAATGCTTCTGTGGGTAACTACACTGTAGCTCTTTTCTATGCTGAAAAAGCGCTCGCCATAAATGTAAAAGTACTTCCTCCGCATCATGATCTTCTCTATCTGTCTTACGAGAGAATGGGTTCCATATACGAACGCCGTGGCGAAGATGCAAAAGCGCTGTTATTCTATCAGAAAGCCATTGAGATATGCNTACAGCTTCTTCACATCGATACCTTTTGATCCTTGTTCGGAAGCGATCTGTTGATGCAGGTGACGAATGTATACGCGTAAAGTATACAATGTATCATAGTCATGAGTACGAAGAGCTTTGTTCAGCATGCGATAAAGGAATGAATCTCGAGTATACCAATAGATAGACGTGTCCGCTGAGTATGTCGTTTTGAGATCTTTGAGGTTCGATAGTTCGTTGTTATTTCCATGATATCGTGTCTGGCAAAAGTCATACATATCTTGCATATCTTCATCTGTTACTGATAGAACAATGTCTCGAAACAACTGATCGTACATAAACGACGCTTCTTGTTGACTAGCGTCGGATCCATTCTTTGACTTCGATCGTTCCATCATTTCAAAACCTAACAGCGTACGATCGAGCCTTGTTACGTCTTTGCTTAGCTGTTCACACAACGCATGTATAGTAGTGTAAATACCAGTGATTTCTTGATATTCACTAAACCAAGATTCTTGAACTTTCCCAGGAGAATAGACATAGATCGATTCAAGTTGTTTTTCATCATGAATACTTGAAACGAAATCCTCTTCGACTGCACCCGAGACGATCACAAAGATCTTCACGTCTTTGACATTTGACATGAATTCATGACATGTCTTAGGATCCAAAAATATTTTCACACAATTAACCACCTGTTGAAGTTGACGTTTTGATTCTTCACCACTTTTACCCTTACCACCGTTGGATTGATCCAACCACACAAGAACATAATTCTCAACGTTGTCTACCTGCGGCATCGGCTTTTCAGGTACGGATAATGTTAGTTTTGGTTTTTCAGATTTAGGTATGGGTAGCACATATACTTTGTAACCTGTAGAAACAGACAATATATTGTAGCCGAACTCTTTTCATGAAAAATCGGTTGGATTGATGAGATCGTTTGTATACAAACCTATGTTTTTCCGAAGAAGTCGTTGAGATGGCGGTAGTTTGCTGTCAAACCTGCCATCGTTCGTGAATAGTTGCCAGTCAGTTTTCGGTTGAAGTGGTGCGGAGAAAGCTCTCTGTCGATTCATACAAACGTTTTTTTCGATAGCAAATAGTGAATGAAGCAGTTGTTGCCTTATTAATAATGCTTTTACATCAACTTTTTCCAACATTCCAAATTGATTCGCAAAAGTGTTGTTTTCATTTTTCGGGGAAAAAACCGAGCGTGTTATGTTACGAATTTTTGCAATAACAAAACGATTTGCTCTTATGTTTCGCAAAATCATCTGTTTGCCTTTACAACTCTTTTTCAGTTACTACCGTTCTTTTACTTCCTGTGAGTAGTGAAAATATGCATGACTCAGAGTAAACAAAGCCACATTTGACAAAGTTTCAAGTTAATGTACTCGTAGCACATTGTAACTGATGCTATCATCAGAAGACAATCGACTTTCTTCCTTTATGTAGAACATCTCTCGTAAGACTGCGCTTCCCGCAAGCGTACACTTAGAAGCCGAATAGCTTAGATGATATAGTTGTCGAACAACGATAAAATTATAGTGATTAAACAAATACTGCACTTTTTCGCCTGGTTAGAAAGAAAATCTATATTAGAACCCAGAAAAATCAGACAATATTATGAATATCAGCCGCAGTTGTATCAGTTCTGCTCAATCGAGAATCTTTGTACACGATTGTTCTCGTGGTCAGTGACGTACAAATTACCATTTCCATCAAAACATAAACCTGTTGGATAACGAAACTGGTCTGAACTATTTCCGAAACCCTTATCTCCAACGATGACACTTCCCTCTGCTACTCCTGCTTCAAATCGCATTATTCGTTGATTTCCATGATCAGCAACATAAATCGTACCATTCTGATCAACAATCACTTGCCGAGGATTATTCAGTTGTGTCAAATTTGTACCATTGCCATGGCCACCAGCTACGACTATTCCTTCTTTCGCCCCTTTGGCCCATTTGACGATGCGATGATTGAAACTATCTGAGATATAGATCGATTGTTGTCGGTCAATAAATATGCCTGTTGGGCTGTTGAGCTGGTTGAGTTTGTCACCTGACCCATACCCACCGGCTACAATCATCCCGTCCAATTTGCCCAGCCGATATTGTCTCACTAAGTTTCGGATACCATCTGACACGTAAAGAAATCTTTGGGCATCTAAAGCTAGCCCACGACAATATATCTTGTCCACAATTCTTTCTCCACTCTTCCCATTTATGCGCGGCCATTGCATAACACGCCGATTGTGCGAGTCACAAATGATAAGCGTATCTGTTTCCTTATCAATAAGCAAGTCCATAGGACGATTCAACTGATCAAATCGATTGCCTCGTCCTCTCCCACCGGCGACCACTTGGCCATGTGTTGCGTTGCTTCGAAACATCAAAACTCTATGATTGTTATAATCAGCTATGTAGAGGTGCTGAAGATCATCAAAACAAAGGCCATAAGGTCCCGATAATTGATTCGTATTTGATCCCGATTCATTCCCACCAGCAATCGTTTTCCCATGCCCCTCCCATCTCGCATTATAAGCAATATTAGGTAACGGTACTAAAATACAACAGAAAATCTAATATAAGTACTTCACACGAAAACTAGTCACTTTCAATTGTTTCCTATTAGAGCATCTACGTTACATACTTTGCCAATCTTCAAGCTCATTATCATAATCCATGTATGCTTCAACCGCATCACACCATCTTTTCTCCATCTCACCACCATTACCATCATCACCAACTATTACTCCACTAAAAATCACACTTACTTTCACCGTTTCCATTTCATCATCCAACGACAAACTCACACTTGTACCATTCCAATCTAAACACAAATTACATTCGAACTATCTCCATTCTCGCCACTCATTCCACTTACGCAACACTTGTTCATCAACTACACGTCCTTCTCCAGTCAATCCTCTCACTTCAATCCACACGCCAACACTCACATTCCCATTCAACACTAATCGCTTCTCTCTTTTTTCTGCCGTCTCATTCCGTATCTTTGACAAAACAATGTTTTGTATCATCACACCCGTACTGTTCGATGGTTGTAAAGCAAAGTAACAGTGATTCTCATGTGTATTCCACCTTACAATGCTGATGTTTCCACTTTCTAGTGTCCAGTGATCAGTCAACGAGCCGTGACACTTGGCTCTGCCATCACTAATCAGATTTACATCATGCAGAAGTGTTCCATTAGAAAATCGAGCATCGTGAACCGTCAGAGCCTGCGTCAACATGTCTATTGTTGCATCACTACCCATGAAGTCACTTTTGTGAAGATTGGTGAGAGTGAAGTTCACATCGAAAAGATCTGCTCTGACAAACATGGCAGCCTTTGCATTAGCAAACGATAAGTCACAGGATGACAGAATGGCTTGTAGGAAATGAGCTCCGATACATTGAGCTCGCTGAAACGTAGTGTTTGATAGGTTTGCATTGGCAAAATTAGTTGCAGTCAAGATGGTGGATGAGAACGACAAATTCGTGGTCTGAGTTGCTGAAAAGTCTGCTTTACGTATATTGGCTAGTGAGTAGGTGAGATGATGAAGTACGGCGGATGAAAATGTGACTTCTACCATCGAAGAATTCGAGAAACTAATATGGCTTAAAGAAGTAAATGAAAAGTTAGCCACCCGTAATCTAGTGGACACAAATTGAACATTTTCCATTTCACTATAGCTGAAGTTCACATTGCGTAGTGTTGCATATGAAAATGTCACATTCACAAGCCGAGCAAATGAGAAGTCACTTCCATCCATTACTGCATGTGAAAAGTCGACGTTTTCGAAACGAGTATCAGAGAAATTTGTGTTTGTCATGCGAACATTCGTGAACGTGACATTATTGAAAATGACACCGGTAAGTGATAGTTGGTCAAGAGTTTTTCGGTGCATAGCAAACTGACTGAAGTTGATGTGAGAAAGTTCAGCTGTTGAAAGATCTAGTGCTGCATGTTGATGTACTGTGGAGAGCTGATTGGCTTCGTAGAGAAAGAAAATGATGCGAGCGATTCGATGAGTTTCGAGATGGCGAAGCACATTCAAAGTCTTGGCACGTATAAGAGAAGCAATCGTTACAGTCGGTGCGAGAGTACTGTTTGTTTCAATTAAGAAATGACCAATGTCATTGATATAAGTCTCAAAAATGTCGTTTTGGTACTGCTTATCAGCTAGTTCTTTCTCTAATTGCACCTGTTCGAAACCGATCTTTTGATCTTCGGCGCGTTGTTTTCTGGTGATGCTCTGTTGCTGGACAGTAATTACAATGGTGAAAATAGCGAGAACAATAGGTAACATGAAAGAAGAAATGCAGTTCGAGAAATGATCAAATGCTACACGACGATAACGGGTATTGCGTGTTCGTATGATTCCGGTTCTTATGGTTTGATTTCTGTTTACCATGTATTGTTGACGGCGCTTAGAAAAGGAAGAGAAAGTATGACTATTCCGGAGAAAAAAAGAGCAGATATTCTTTCGCGTGAACCGAACTATAGGGTAGAAGGGCGAAGATAAGGAAAGGCTTTAGAAGTCGTATCGTTTGTGCAGACTAAAACGTGCTGATCTATCACATTTTGAGATAGTTCTACAAGGATCTATTTGTTTGTGTGCTAGCTGTACAATTTATTCATCAAATGTCAAATGAGCACATTATACACTAGCATCGTGAATTTGGTATGACTTTCGCACAAAAGACACAATTCATTAGTTTGATAGCAGTAAGTCGAACAATACGTGGGGGATGTGATATCGAGAAGAAATGGAAAGAATGAAATTATTTCTGTTAAAGAAGATTTACTTTTTGAAATAAACCCGTAAAGGGTGACATTGCTACCTCTTTATGATGATTTTAACGTAGTACCTAAAAAAATAACGGAGCTACAGTAGCAAACGTGGTAAAGAAAAACTTCTTCACTCACCAGCCAATGACGTGCCGTCTTCATACAGATCAAATAGTAAATTTCAACAGTGATTGTACTCTGCAATGATGAACGATATATTAAAATGAGTTTACTACAAAGAAAGCGGATGAAAAGCTTTTAATAAAGATGATACATTTTGCTCGAACTCCTAAATGACGTAAACAGTTATCGAAAATAAAACCAAAATATTGTACACATTTAAAAAAAAAACTTCCAAGCAATCTTTAATACGAAGAGTATAGATTATACATGTACAGTCGCAATGTTCTGATACAATCCGTGCGTCAAAAGTGTCAATTTAAATAAATCCGAAATCTTTGCACACGATTGTTATCATGGTCAACTACATACAAATTTCCATCTCCATCAAAACATAAACCTGTTGGATAACGAAACTGGTCTGACTTATTTCCGACACCCTTATCTCCAACGATGACACTTCCCTCTGCTACTCCTGCTTCAAATCGCATTATTCGTTGATTTTCGTGATCAGCAACATAGATCGTACCATTCTGATCAACAATCACTTGCCGAGGATTATTCAGTTGTGCCAAATTTGCACCATTGCCATGGCCACCAGCTACGACTATTCCTTCTTTCGCCCCTTTGGTCCATTTGACGATGCGATGATTGAAACTATCTGAGATATAGATCGATTGTTGTCGGTCAATAAATATGTCTGTTGGGCTGTTCAGCTGGTTGAGCTTGTCACCTGGCCCATACCCACCTGCTACGACCGTACCATTTGAAGTTTCCAACCGGTATCGCTTCACAACATTGTTATCGTTATCGATAATGTACAGATACCTGTAATCGTCCAAAGCCAATGCCCAACATTGAATGTTAACGACGATTTTTTCTCCATATGAGCCACTTACACGAGGCCATTGCATAATGCGATGATTGCCCGAGTCACAGATCAATAGACTGTCTGTATATGAATCTATGATTACATTACGTGGAAGGTATAACCGGTAATTTTCATTTCCCGGTTTACCATCACCAGCTACTATCTGTCCACTAATTGCATTAAGATCCCACTTGACAATACGATGGTGTTCATAATCAGCGATATAAAGAATGGTCTGATTATAAATATAGATACCAATTGGATGATCAAGTTGATCCACTGAATCACCTGCTTGCATAAACTTGGACACTGTTTCTCCATGTATATCCCATTTACTATTGGGCGGAATTATTGGAAGATCTAAATATGAAAAAAGCAAAACTAACATCTACACTGATTCATCCATGCAGTTCAATTCCCTTATGATCATCTATTGTACTTTAACATCTTATTATATTTGAAAAATACAGAGAACGTGTTGACCTTTACAACATTCCCTTCCTTTACTTTTTTCTGTACTGCCCATATTATCCGGTATGACCTTATGACGTGTTACAGTACTTTCAGATCACATTTATCCAACGTTTACGCAGTAAATACCTTTTCGTTTTCATTCACAAAACTACTACATGCTGACTATAACCTAACTATGATTGTATACCTCGTAAATCATCAGGATCATTATCATAATCCATGTACGCTTCAACCGCATCACACCATCTTTTCTCCATCTCACCACCATTACCATCATCACCAACTATTACTCCACTAAAAATCACACTTACTTTCACCGTTTCCATTTCATCATCCAACGACAAAC